TCATTATAACTTGTATTAGAATATATTTCAAAATTATTATTTTCATTTTTACTTCTCTCAGATAAACTATCTTCGGTGTATTCATTTAATAGTTGAATATTATTTTCTGAAAAATCGGCAAAGTCAAAGGATATATTTTGGCTATAAAAATATTCTTCGGGTTCAATTTCTATTTCTTCCATCTTGAAAATTAGCGAATTTTAACCTTGAGATTCTTGTGGAATAGAAAGTTTATTGAGTTCGAACAAATTTATATAATACAAGTAATTTTTTATCAATAAGCATGACCACTTTTTAATCACGTTTTGTATATAATATTTTGATATATCCAATTGGAAAGTTCGATAATTTTTCATGTTTTATATGAATTTGAAAATTTTTACTATGAGCTGCAGATTGCCGATCCCTATAATTAAATATCTAGAAATGCCTATCATTGGACATGTCGCCTGACTGTTATGTAGATAATTTCTGGAGGCATATTTCACGTGACTTAAGTTTATGAAAACGTTACAGCGCGCCGCAGTGTCACCACATGACCTACAATCTGGGGAGTTATCTGGTCAATTCAAGTTAAAGCTTTGATTAAAAAAATTTTCTGGGCCTAGTTTTTCTCCAATCATTTTAGCGAGCAAATTTGCCCGTTAAAATGGATGGTTTAAGGGATAAAAAAAATAAAGAATGCAGAGGCAATAATTGGAAATCGACAGATCATTTTATTAATTTTTATTGTTAACAATTAAGAAGGTAAGTATATTATTTTTTTAAGATTTTAGCGATTTATAGTTCATTAGATTCCTTCCCGTCCTCCCGTCGCGAAACCCGTGAACTCATTCCAAAAGAACGAGGTAAGTATTTACGTAAAAGGAGAGAAAGATAAATGAGGAGAAAAGGTAAGTATATTGTTTTTTTTTCATTGCTTTTAAAAAATACACCTACCTATACATTCAACATGCGTCCGCGTTTACCTTTGTTAAACAACAATACTATTTTGTTCGTTACACAAATTCTACTAATATAGTTAATAACATTTAATGAATATCTGAGAACATGGTCGAACATTTTATAAAATTTTTTGGTTATTATCGTGAATAATATCCGATATGTAATGTGATATATTATCATATCAAATATTTTTACCCTATTAAAAAAGTGGATAATTGCTGAATTTTAGACAGAATGAAACTTTATAGAGATCACAAATAGAAAAATAATTTTCCGCAAAAATTATCTAATCAAAAGTTTTGGGCAAAGGCTTGCTAGTCGGTGAGCACGTGATTTTGAGCGAGAAACGAGAACAAGGTAACAATAAAGAGTTAATTGATTGTCCTACATGTTATTTTGTGCTCATGAATTATCTCAACATCGCTACACAAGAAATCAATAAAATTGGTATAAGAATTTTTATTCATTTTCTTTTTCTTTACAAAGAAACCATTATTTCAATTTCAATTTTTTAAAAAAATTATTATTTTTAAACATCATGCAAAAACAAGCAAAGTGGGGTAAATGAATAATTAAAATTATGATTAATTTTTTGTAATTATTGTAATTATTGTAATTTTGTTAATTTTGTAATTTTATTTTTATTATTTTTTTTTGTAGATTTTTCTGAAACTAACCTTGCAAATTTTGGTTCAAATATCGAAAAGGAAGCTCATTATCAAGCCGGAGCTCAAGAACAAGCGTGGGCGGATCCCACCACAAAAGTTGGCATAGAAGCGTGAGCATATACATACTATATTTTTTATTAGTATCATGTGACTTCGGGAAATTCTAAACATAAAAAATTACATTTATTAGTGGTTTATGGGTATGGCGTATTGAAAAATTTACCGTGAAAGCATGGCCAAAAAACAAATACGGTGAATTCTATTCAGGTAAAGGATTGACTTTCTTGATAAAAATCACAATTATCACTTTATTATCCATTATCTCACCTTTCTATCTAACCTTTAGGGGATAGTTATATTGTTCTTCATGTAAGTGATTGTGGTGAAGAATGAAAAGTTAAAAATTATATTCTATATTCTTTAAATATTCTTAATGTATATTCTGTGCGTGTATATATGTTATGTTTAGTCCTATAAGAAGAATAAAGATACTGAGGCCTTAGCGCATGATATTCATTTTTGGCTTGGATTGGATAGTTCTCAAGTAAATTTTCATAATAGAATTCATTTGATTTTTTTTTTTTTAAAAAAAAAAAAAAAAAAGAAAAATTAAAATTTAAATTATAGGATGAAATTGGAACTGCTGCTTACAAAACGGTAGAATTGGATGATTGTAGGAAATTCTTTTATATAAATTTGTTTTTTGTTTATTTATTATTGTCATTATTTATTTATCGTTGTTATTATTATTGTATTTAGTCCTTGGAACTTCTCCGGTTCAACATCGTGAGGTAAAAGAATGATTTTTAAAATTTTGAATATTTAAAATTATATAATAATTTTAATATGATTATTGTTAATAGGTTCAAGATAATGAATCCACATTATTCATTACTTATTTCCCTCATTTTCGTGTAGAAGAGGGTGGAATTTCATCCGGATTTAATCATCATTCACCTAAAGAATATCGTCATCGATTACTTAAGATCAAATTAATTAAACGTACAGTGGTAATTCGAGAAGTCCCTAAAGATTATACGTCTTTAAATTCGGGTGATGTCTTTGTTTTAGATACCGGTGTTATACTTTATCAACTTAATGGAAAGAAGTCTCACGGAGTTGAAAAAGTTAAAGCAGCAGAATTTGTTCAAGCTGTTGAAAGTGAGAGAAGTGGATCGGCTAAGACAATCGTTATTGGTAATTTAATATTTATATATCCATATATTTTTATTTTATTTATTTTAATTATAATTAATTAAAAATTAATAATTAATTCATTTAGATGAAGGAGATAAAGAAATGCCAAAATTCTGGGAAGCACTTGGAAGTAGTGGACCTATTAAACCTGCATCAGAAGATAAAGATTCTGATATTGCAAATATTCCCAAGAAATTATTTAGAGTTAGTGATTCTTCTGGTAGTTTGACCTTTACTGAAGAATCTGGTCCCATCTCATTATCTCGATTTGATACTAATGATGTGTTTATTTTTGATGCTGTTCATAATGGTATTTCTTTATTTCTTTACTCTATTTATTTCTTATTTCTTATTTATTAATGAATTATTTTTTTTTTTTGTTTATTAAATAACTATTTAAAGTTTTCATATGGATTGGACTTAAATCCACTGTTAAAGAGAAAAAATATTCATTACAATATGCTCAGGTAAAAAAATAATAAATTATTTTATATATTTTCTAAATATTTTTCTTTTGTAAATAATAAAAATAATAAATACGTGATCAATATCATTATTATTATTAAATATAGGAATACATCAAGAAATTTAATCGTCCAGAGCATACACCAATTACTCGTGTCATGGAAGGTGGTGAAAATGATGTTTTCCTCAAGAGCTTTGAAGAAAAAACAATTTAACTCATGTATTTACAAATTTTGTAAAGTGGTAAAATCTTTTTTTTCTTTAAAGGCATGGTTGGGTGACTTATTTATAATCTATGATAAATTAGATTTATGTAAATTATCTTTATTTTTATTTATTAATTCGAATTTTTATTTATAAAATTTATTTACTTTTATTCAATATAAAATTATATTAAAGGTAAAATTGAATTTGTCCATATATAAAATATATAAATAAGAATGAATAAAGAATTATTTTTTTTTCATACGATTCAAATAAGCAAAAAATGTTCGAATCAGTAAATATTGTTTAAATCAGTTATGTGAATTTTAGATTTTAGAAAATTTGGAAATAAATAATAATAAATAATAATGTCTACTAAAAAAATAAATAAAAATAAATAAAAAGTACTAATAATTATTGTTATTACACATTTATTTAAGGTAATAATTAAGTTCTTTTAAATCAAATGAACATTCAACGAATAAAAAAAAATAATAAATAAATATTTATTTTTTATCTGTTAATGTTATTATTATTGTTTTTTAATTCAAAAATACAAATATTTTAAAACAAGCCAAATAAAGCAAAACTAAATGTGAACAATAATAATTCTATTTCACCTGACATTTACAGTATGCATAATGTTTATAAAATTAAACACTTTTCATTCTTAATCTGTTTATTTAATAATAATATAAATTTTATTTTGCTGACAATGTAAAAAAAATAGATATAAGAATTATAATAAATGTAAATACCTATATGTCATTGTTATATCACCTCCAGTTTTCCATATATGTGATTTTATAGTTGATAAAGTCATTGTGGGTGGTAAAACCTAATTATAAAAAAATATTAATTAATAATAAATATTTAAGCTTAAATAATGTTAAATGGTCAAGTCAATACAAACCTGATCTTGACAAACTAATTCTAACCACATTTCTGGTTTTAAACTATTTTTCTTTTGTTGTTGTTCATTATTATTTTCTTTATTACTATTATCATTATCATCTCTTTCTTCAGTTTCTGATAAATTCATTTCATTAATATTATCTTCTGGTTGATCAAGTTCTAATTTTTCCACGACATAGGCTAAAATCTTGCGAGCTCGTAACATACGGTTAGCTGTTAGCCGCGCATTACTTATTTTTTTTTAAAAAAAAAAAAAATAATAATAATAATAAATTTTAAATATCAATACTTATATAAAAATAATATATATACAAATAAATACCCATTCGGAAGATCATCAAGTTCAGAACCTTCGTGTGGTTTTAATAAAAAACCAATCTTGAATGGTTCTTTTTGAGTAGTCCTGCCCTTAATTATTTTTATTATTTTGAAAATAACAAAAGTATATAATATTAATAAAAAAGAATAAAATATTATATGTGTGTGTTTGTAAATTCCACCAAAATTTGCGTATTACCTACTACGAAAATAAATATATACAAACATATATATATATATACAGAAGAAAGGAGAAAATAGAGGGAGAGAGATGCAAGAGATCATAATTAAAAAAATTATATATATATATATATATAATATTTTCGTACGTACTTTGATTAAGAATTCGATTAGCCAATCTGGAGCTTTTTGTTCAACGATTTCGGCATCTCTATCCAATGAATCAACAGTTCCTCGATATAAATCTACACAGGCGGAAGCTTCGGGAGTTTCTTCTGATATTATAATGATGGTGTGAGGTGGAATTTGAATTTCGGGAGTTTCTTGTACAGGAAATTGGACAAAAGGGGGTACAATGATAGATTTCATTTGACGGGTGGGAATATGAGAAGGAGAAGAAGGAGAGGAAGGAGAACCACCAATAACTGACATTTGGTTGAGTTGAGGTGCGAAACTTGTGGTAGGCGAGTTAACCTTTAATAGATAAAATAAATAATAAAAATTAAATCTCGAAATTTGAATTGAAACATAACCTTTCATATAACTTTACAAATAAAGATTATATATATAACAATTTAAATAATTTACCATTGTTTCATCATCCTTTCGTAATGGTTGTGAATTATTTTCATCTTTTAATTGATTAGTGGACACAGTTAATTTTAAATCACCAGCTTTAATATTAGTAGCATTATTAGTACTTGAAAAATTTTCTGCTTCTTGTTTATTTTCAGTATTCGTTGGTGAACGAGGAGTTTTACTACGAACATTAAAAGGATTTTTAAATCTTCCCATTATTGAACTTGCTGTTCCGCTGCTACTACTAGGAGATTGATTCACTAAAGCAGGAGGTGGTGGTTTAATAACATCAGAAGTTGATAAGCCAGTCGTTGAAGATGATGTTGTGGTTGTTATTGTTGTTCCGGTAAGTGATTCTGTTGAAGTGATATTAGTAGTAGTATTATTATTATTGTTATTGTTATTATTATTATTATTATTATTATTATTATTATTATTATTATTATTATTATTATTATCTGAAGGTGTAAGACTAGTAGTATTTGTTGTATTTATAGTAGTAGTACTAGTATTATTGTTATTATTGATAGATGGATCATGATGAGAACCAGAAAAATAATCTTGAGCAGACGTTCCAGTAGTTGCAGGTGCAGTAAATGGACCCGTAGTAAAAGCAGCTACAGGTGTGGTAGGAGATTGAGTAATTCTTGGTAAGGAACCTGGTGAATTAATAATTGATTGAATTGTAGCAGCAGTAGGTGGTGTTGTAGGGGTACTATTACTACCACCGCTATTATTATTACTTGAATTACTTATAATAGATGTTTTTTGATAAATTGTACTACTATTATTACTTGTATCGGTAGAATGCAAAGTAGCGGGAGGAAATGAAATTTTTTGTGATAAAGTTGTCCTACTTTCTTGTTGATCACCTCCTCCTCGTCTAAAATCAGATTGTTGTAACCTTTGTTGCATTAAATTATGGTGCCTTTGAATCTCTTCATAAGTTTGTATTTCGGTTTTAGTAAATTTTGCAAATAAATAACGTAACACCCATTTTCCAAGATTAACTATTTAAAAAAGATTAATTATTTAATTAATTATTTGATTATTTAATTATTCTGAAAAAAAATATATTCATACTTCTTTGATCTTCTCGCATCTCTACATCTTCGGGTAATCCAGCTTCATCTGCATACATTTCTGCATCAAAACAACTTTTCTCGTCAAGTTGAACTGTTAAAGCCTTTGAAAATAAAATCAGTTGTTTTTTCTCTTTCTTTCTTTCTTTTTGCATATTAAAGAAGATATTGCACACATTAAATAATTTCACAATTCAATATTCTACTAAAATCTATTTATCTATATTATATTTATTACGTACCCCCACCCGAGTATCTACAGAACACCAATTTGGAATGGATTCGATAGTATTAATCTTTGATAAAACTTCATCAATATTGTGTTTTCCAAATGTCTTTAAACGTGAACACTAGTAACAAAAAAAAAGGAATAGATGAAATAAATAAAATATGAAAACAGAAATGTCAATTACAATATAATAACAATCAATAAAACAACTATTAAGAATTTTAAGAATTTATAAAAAAAAAAAGTTACCAAAATTATATCCCATAAAGCAACTTCCCCTGAATTATCAAGAGTAAGAATATGTCTTCGATTATTTAACATCTGATGTTTAATTAATCCATGTTGTCCTAAAAAAAATATTATTATTATTATTATAATTAAAAATATCTTTCTCCATCTGATGATAATAATAATAATAATATACTAACCCTCAATTACATAATTTGGAATTAATGCAACTGGAATTGGATCTTCAAGATCTTCCATATGATCATCCGTTGTAGTAATAGTAGCGGATTCAGTATCCATATTTACACCTCCATTCGATGTAAGTTTTATCACCGCAGATGAAGGTATTGGTGGTGATGATGGAGGTGAAGTAGAAGGAAAAGTTGGAGATGTAGGAGGCGAAGTAGATGAGGAAGATAACATATAATTCTTATGATTACGACGCATACACACGTCTTTCTATAGTTAAAATATTAACATAGTTAAAACATCATAACAATAATAAAAATGCCATTTTTTTTCATTTTTTTTTATAAAATATAAGATATATAATATAATATGCACACACCCATCTTTTTATACTAGAATCATATGTTGCTGTCCATACAAATTTATTATCTAATGCAACAAGCTGAAATTTATAATAAAGTTAATATGATACGTTGAATCATTATAAATATGAATATAATAAATATAAATAGAATATAAATATAAATAACCTTAATGACACCAGCATCTTCTTTACAAACAGCCACACAATCTCCATCACGAATCTCAGCACAACCACTATAATCAGTTTTAGTAACAAGTCCATCTTTACTACCAGCATAAAATGTTTCTAATCGAGGATGATCAGAAAATAAAGACCAAACAGAATCTGAATGAATGGTAAAAGTATTAATACAACGTTGTGTTCGAAGTGACCATAATTTAATTGTGGTGTCTGATGATCCCGATAAAACCTAAATTTTCGAAAAAAAAAAAGACAAAAGATTATAATATAATATATAATTTTAAATAAATAAATCGAATTAAATTAAAATAAATCGAAATAAATTAATCAAGACTTACTAATTCACCATCATCACTAACTAAAACAGCTCTTATATTGTCAGTATGTCCAGTAAAACTTGTAATTTGCTTAAACGAACGTGGATCCCAAACACGAATAATCTAATAAGAAAATGTCGAAACAATAATTGTAATGATCAAATTATAGAGAGTCATTTAGGGTTATAGACAAATAAGAAAATAAATAAGCAAATAAATAATAAACAAATAATAAACAAATAATAATTAATTAATTTTACTTTGTCAGGCGATCCAGAAACTAATACCGACCCCGATGGATTACATGCAAGTGTGTATATCGAAGATTTTGGTGATACTTCTGATATCGTTCCTTTTTATAACAATATAAAATAGTAAAAAAAAAATATTTAAATTAAAATATGTATATATATATATATATATAATAATTAAAAATGAGCAAAATATTATATTTACATATATATATATGTGTGTGTACCTATTGACAGATAATCTAAATTAATTGAAGAAATTCCTGATGATGGTCGACATTCTTTTATATCCCATAATATAATTTTACGATCAAATCCTCCACTAGCGATCCAACCCGGTCCTTGAGCATGAGCCAAAGTTTTTATATAATCACTATGATATCCGATGGTGGTTGGACTATTTGATATGTGAGGATGCCAGAGTTTTAATGTTCGATCAGAGGATGCGGAAATTACTAATAAACAACAATCAATCAATTCACCCATAATAAATTTCATCATATAAATTTCATGTAAATTTCATAAATTTCAATAAATTCCATAAATTTTCTCAAATTATATACAAATAAATAATAATAATATACATAATAAAAATATATATATATTTAAAACAATAATTGATTTCTGGAATACAGTATAGAGAAATTTATTATTATGATACACGCACATGTTTCATTATTATGACAAAGTATTATATCATTCACCCAGTCGGTATGGCTTCGGAATGACTGACGAAACGTAGATGCACGTGGTGGCTTTATTTATTAACAAAAAAAATTAATATTTTAATATCATTGAGTAAAAATAATAATAAATAAATAAATAAATAAACCCACCGAAAAAGAATTAGCTTCATCAATTTTCCAATAATAATGACCTTTTTTAGTATCACTAAATTTTTCCAAAGGAATATTATCATCGTCATCACTTTTAGATAGAATACTATTATTACCATCACTAAGCTGAACTATTCCACCATCACTAAGCTGAATTATTCCACCATCCCGTTTTTTTAAATCATTAATAGTTACTATTGGTTCTTTTTCTTTTTTCGAACTTGAGGAAGAGGAGGGGGAGGACGAGATTGATGATAATTCAAATGGTAAATGTAAATCCCAAGAGGTAATCACACCATCCCGTCCAGCTGAATAAAGTATTCCTTCGGGTTTACCGGTTTTGGGATTTACGGTTCGAGTATCTAATGCTAAAGAATTTATTCCTAAAAGGTGTCCGTGATCATCTTTATTATGTGTAATTATGTATGATACATTTCTCGTGCTTCTCATCGTACTCCTCATTGATTCAGTAATTTATTCTTTCGAATTATTAAAAATCTAAATAAATCTAAAATCTATTGAACTTCGATATATAAATTCAAATGTTACACGTAGATTTAATATTTTCATTTTTAAATATCATGTGCTTTTTTTACCATTCCGATTTTGTAATACAATAATAAATTAAAATCCCTCGCTATCGAAAATGATTATCTCTTTTTATCTAGAACAAACTAGCCATTTATTTTTTTGGGGGTATCTACCACATGAATAAGATTGGAATTGGCAATGTTAATTAGTATCACATTTGTTATACATTTTTCTAATTTAGTTTAAAAAATTAAATTAAATCAAGGAGAGTAAGTTTAAGAAAGTACATGAGGATTTAATCTTGAAATTTCAGTTAACCTTTGATATCCCTGGATGACATTTTGATCAGTCATAAAGGCTGATTGATCTAAGTGAGATATTTTAATATTTTCCCAAGTGGGACATTGACTAAGAGCAACATATGCATGTCCTGATGAAAAAATATTTTCATCTAATGCAAGATATACTTTGAGTAAAGTTAAACCTTGTGTTTTATGAACTGTTAAAGCAAAACAGTTTTGTAGGGGATATTGAGTTTGTTGACAATTAGTTCCATTTATTTCAAATAATGAGTTTGTTTTGTAACATCTATATTAATTATAGATCCCCTAACTAAAAATACAACTCAAATTATTTGTTCTGAAAGATTTATATCTGTTACAATATCTATAGTACTATTATATATCTTATATTCAATAAGAGAATTATTAAGATACATAACTCTTTGCAATCAAATGTTGGAAGGCAAATTTGTTTTTGATTTAAACATCTGATTTGTAAATGAAGTATTCCAAGGTACTAAATTTACAATATCAATTGCTTATGAAATTAGAAATTTGTTATCAGGTACAGGTAACATATTACAAATTATACAATTAATTTGTTGTGCATTTTCTTTGAATCTTACAATATGTGTTATATCAAGTAATATGTTGATAGTAGAATATGTTGTTAGAAATTCTGAATAACATTGTTGTTGCATTTGCCATATTTTATTAGAAATGTTTTCAATTCATACTTCTTCTATATTAGGAAATTTTTTTTAGTGAAAACCTTCAAAAGTTAACATTAACATAAGTATTTTGTTGTTTTTCAATATGTTATCCTTTGAAGTTCTTTGCTAACCTTCAAAGGTTATTGATTTTGATATTTTCACATGGTGAAATTTTGCAAATATTATTGTTTTCATAATAAATTTATATTGATAACCTTTGAAGATTATCGATTTTGATATTTTCATGTACAAAATTTTATAAATATTATCATTTTCATAGTAAATTCATATCAATAACTTTTGAAGGTTATCAATTTTGATATCTTCATGTGTAAAATTTTGCAAATATTATCATTTTCGTAGTAATTTCATATCAATAACCTTCGTTTATATTAGATATTCATAATATATTATTTCAATGATCATCACTTGCATTTATATTATTACGATTTTTAATTGATATTGTACTATCAACAATATCCTTTGAAATTTATTACAGCAATTTTAATTGACATTGCACTGTCAATGATATTCTTCAGAAGTTTATCGCAGTAATTTTAATTGACATTGCACTGTTAATAATATTTTTCGAAATTTATCGTAGCGAAATTACATTGTTAACAATATCTTTTGAAATTTATCACAACAATTAAGATTAGTATTTATATTTACTAAATGTAATTATATTATTGTTATAATTTTATTAGATATTATATTGAATCAAAGTTTATTAATATTAATATATTTCCAAAACCTTTGATAATTTAATATATTATAGTTAAAGATATTCAAAATAACTAGTCAATGATTCAATGAGTTTGAATTAGTATTGTTTAAATATTACAAATATTTATATATAATATTTATAATAAAATTTTCAAATAAGAATAATTATTATCATATGAATATTGTAAGTATAGGATTTTACCTATGGTATTATTAACAAATATCTTTTGAAATTTATATTACTGCATTTTAATTGATATCGATATCCATCGAAGTTTATCATATCGTTAATTATCATTTCAAATTTTTTTCGAAAGTTAATGTTTTTTGTTTGTATAACAAGATTAGTTATCTTATATAACTTATTATTTAACTATGTATTTTTTTATTTATTTTCAGAATAACTACTTTTACTCTCTTTAAACAATCTATATAAAACTTTTCAAAAAGAAATAAATTTATATCTTCATATTTTTGTTATTATTATATCAAAATATACCAAATAAAAAACAATAATTTAAAATATATTTAATAATATTTATTGGCTTGCATCGACTTTATTTTATAATTTAATAAGTAAATAAATATATTTTATACTTTGTTTACTTTCAGGAATATTTTATTAACTTTAACATATACTTATAAAACATTTTGAAATAGTATATTTATATCTTCCTATAATTTATTCTGTCAATAGAATATCTTCAAAGAGATGAAAACTAATAATTTTTTTGTAAATTTATAAGGTAAAAAAATTTAAAATTTTTCTGTATAATTTAAAGACCTTTTTTTAAAGAATTTATTTTATTAAATAATTACATTAAGGTTTTATGTAATAGTATTTAAAATCATAACAGGTTCTTCCTTTGTTAACATATTCATAACAACAATATAAGTATTTAAATTATTTATTTGAAAAAATTAATTTACTTTGAATCACAAAACATTACAATATTTAATTATATATAAGTAATATATTCTAATAGTTCAAATAATAGAAAATTCAAATTAATAATATTAATTTTAATTATTATAATAGAAATTTATAAGAAATTTGAAAAAAATTTGAAAAAATCTTAAAAAGATAAATAAACATCTTTCAAACTTTTGTAAAATTACAAAAAAACAAAACAAAAGCTAAAATATTATTATCTTTATAAAAGAATAAAGATAAAAAGAAATATCAAGTAATATAATATTACAGAAAATAGAAACCTACGTCATATTTAAGAATTATATAAAAAATAGTTACCTTATATTATTACATTATTGTATGAAAATATATAAAAAAATAGAAAAAAAATATTATAAAATATTTATTATTATTTTTAATAATAAAATTAATAATAAATTATATAAAAATTCAGAAAGTAATAAAATATTATAAAATGAAATTTTCTATAATATATGGAATTACAATGAAAACGATTAAATTTGAAATAATCTGAAAACAATAAATTTGAAACAAAATATATTAAAATACTAGCTATTGAATTTTGAAAATTTATGTTATCATTAAAAAATTTAACATTGAACTTTGAAGATTTTCAATAACGAAATAATACATTATTGACTTTATTTCTTTAATTCTTATATATATTTATTATTATTAGTATTATATTTTATTAGCATATTTTATTAATTAAATTTCTTTATTTGTATTACATTTTAATAGTATTATTATTATTTACAAGTAACAGATGTAGATTATTTTTATTGTAACGTGAGGTTAACATCTCTAATTAATATCTCTGGTTAACACCTCTGGTAAATATCTCTGATACAAATGACTTATTAGTAAAAATAACTTATAGAATATTCCAGAATGTAACAGAAATTTTCAGAGTTTTCTTGAGATTAATAATTATAGTCTTGTAACAGGATAATAATTTTGTATAAATAGAGATAGCTTTTATTCTTGAAATTAAGACAGTTAGAACTTGATTATATTTTGAACTCGATAATTGTAACAAATTATTAATAAAGTTTTCATAAAAATTTGATAATTTAACTCTTTGATTTATTAGTAAAATACTTTTATAATAATACTTTACTTCGTGATCTCGATATTATTTTGTTTATAATTAACTTTACTTTGTGATCTGAATTAGTTATATTAATTCTGTGTAAATTACTATAGTTTCTGTGTGAAACTGATAATCTTCTTTGTGAATATCTATAAATTTAGTATAAAACCCTCATATTCCTTTAAATTTTTATACCTTTAGTCTCTTTCGAACAAATCTACAACATCAAATCCTTTATTCCTTATACTCTTCCATAGTATAAACCCTTCAACTTTAATATATTCATCTAATTGCTTTGTAATCTTTTAGACAACAGTTTTCCTATTATTTGTTGTTAGTTAATCGTGTTTAGTAAAAGTAATCATGATTAACAACGTATTGAAATTTAACTATTAAATTTCAATTTTGAAGAGTTGTGACACAATCGATAACCTTTGAAATCTAATATTACAATATAATTTTGAAAGTTTTTGAATTAATATAATTACTGATGTAACTGTTGATACAATCTATACTGTTACCCCTAGTTTTTATATTATTCATAAAGATAAAGATGACATAGATAATAATCAAATACAACAGGAACTTGAATATGATCTAGAAGATGAATTAGAAGAGTATAAGAACTATTATTTTGAAAAAAGTGCTCTTGATAATATTCTTGAAAACTATATTTCTAAAGAAAACAAAATTACTAATCTTGTTTTATACTTAACCAAATACCTTTATAAGAAAATTAAAATTAATTTCCCTATACTTGATGAAACTTAAAGATAACAAATTAATAAGTTGTTTACAAAATACACTGACATATTTATCAAGAATATTTCCAAAGAAGATCAAACATTAGAACTGAGACAAACTATTGAAGTAGTTCATGAAATTAAAATTAATGATATTAATCCAATTAAATAAGAGTCTACCGAGTTGCTCCTAGTAAAAGAAAATTCTTATGACAAGAAATTACTGTTATGTTAGATAAAGGAATTATTAGAGAATTACAAAGTCCTTGATCCTTGCCTATAGTAATTATACTAAAGAAAAATAGCAAATAATATTTATATATTAACTACTGAAAACTAAATAAAGAAACTGAAAAAGATATATACCCCTTACCTATTATTGACTCTTTTAAAGATGTTACAAGTTTAGACTTGACCAGTGGTTATTGA